CAAAGTGTGGTCCTTGTACCAGCAGTATGAGCATCACCTGGGAGCTTGTTAGAAATGCAGATTTTCAGACCTCATCTACTAAACCAGGAATTCTGGGGTTGTGGGCCCAGATTTTAACAAGTCCTCTATATCAGGGATCCCCAACCTCTGGGATCTAATGCCTGATGATCTGAGGTGGAGCTGATGTAATAATAAAAGAAAGAAAGTGCACAATAAATGTAATGGGCTTGAGTCATCCTGAATCCAAACCCCATCCCGGTCTGTGGAACAATTATCATTCATGATACCAGTCCCTTGTGACAGAAAGGTTGGGGATCGCTGCTAGGTGGTTCTAATGTAGGTAAAGTTTGAGAATGACCACCATATCTATTATAACTGTAACATTGCATGAAATGATATATAATGCTAGATAGTTTGTTGTTGTTGTTTAGTCACTCAGTTTTGTCTGGCTCTTTGTGACCCCATGGACAGCAGTATGCCAGGCTTCCCTGTCCTTCACTATCTCCTGGAGTTTGCTCAAATTCACATGCATTGAGTCTATGATGCCATCCAACAGTCTATTCCTCTGTCACCCCCTTCTCCTCCTGCCCTCAATCTTTCCCAGCATCAGGGTCTTTTCCAATGAGTTGACTCTTCAAATCAGGTAGCCCAAGTATTGAAACTTCAACATCAGTCCTTCCAATGAATATTCAGGGTTAATTTCCTTTAGGATGACTGGTTTGATCTCCTTGCCATCCAAGGAACTTTCAATAGTCTTCTCTAGGACCACAGTTCGAAAGCATCAATTATTCAACATTCAGCCTTCTTTATGGTCCAACTCTCACATCCATACATGATTACTGGAAAAAAAACATGGCTTTGACTATACGGACCTTTGTTGGCAAAGTGATGTTATACTTAGATTGTTAACATGCCTGCGAGGAGATTGTCCAGTTCACATAGCAGGAGGGGATGGCCCTCAATCTGGCTGTTGTTATCAAGTATATTTAAATTATGATCAAAGAGGCAGTGAGAAACAAACAAACAAACAAAAAAGACTAGACTAGAAAAAATAAGTCGGGCACATATGAAAAGACCAAGAAGTGTTACTGGACAAAAAGAAAAAAAATTCTCTAAGGAAATGTGGCCTTTCTGCTTATATAAATTATTTGTAAATTAATAAGAACAAGAAAAACTAGAGGAGAACTATAAGTGAAACACCCAGAAACTCTTGGGGGAGGGGTGGAGTTAACACTGATTTCTTGCTGTACCAGTCAGAGATATTTCACAATGAGCTTTCGATGACTCAAGCTACTTAAATCATTTGCACACCTGCTAGTAAGCCTCCATCTTGCCTTTCATGATGAACTGTGCTACTTGTAGAGTGTTTTCACAGACACTGTGTTACTTAAGTCTCACATTAACCTGCCCATGTCAGAGATATTTTCCCTTATTTTACAAACAAGCCAAAGAAAGCCATGGGAGGCAATGAGATACTCAAGTTCAGGAAGATTAAGTGTTAAATGCCAGGGCCAACTTCAGACCAAGGTCCTTAGTTTTCCAATCCAATGTTTCTTCTATCGCTTTGCCTTCAAATCTCAGTGGGTGTTGGGGAGATCAGGGTGGACCAGCATCCTATCTTCTTCCTTTTTATCCATTTATCTTCCTAATTTTCCTCAGGTTGCTGTCATAGGGCACTCTGCTTGTGTCAGGAGGTGGAAATTCTGGTCTTGGTTCTACCACTGAAGGTCTCAGACAAGTCGCTTATGCACTCTGGACCTCATGTGGACCATTGTTATGATGAGATTAAATTCATTTTATGGCATTTTATGGAGGGATGAGAAAAATTTAAACATGATATTATTCTCTGCCTGTTTGGGCTTCTTCTGTCCCCTTTAATGTGTATTGTGCATCTGCATCACAGACTTCCTTAGGAGATACCATTCCTTCCTAACTTTGCAAACAGGATGACCCACTAATAGCTTTCTACATGCAGATAGGGATTGCATAAACATGTCAATATGTCATTTGACATATCACCTTTAGTCTCAAAAACATAACTGTGCTCTGTCTTCTGACAGTCCTTAGAGCTTTCTAAAAGACGGTCTCCTTGGCTATAATCCTCAGATTGGCTAAAAAAATTTTCCATTTCTTTCTTAAATCGACTTTTGATTAATTTCTTTTTTTGGGGGGCCCATGCTGCACGGCATGTGGGATTTTAGCTGCCCAACCAGGGATCGAACCCGCTCCCCCTGCATTAGGCTCACAGAGTTTTAACTGCTGAACTTCCTGGGGAGTCCCTTGATTAATTTTTCATCACCAGTTATTTCCAACTTTTTCTCATAGTATGAAAAATAGAATCAGAATGTATATTGGTTGATTTTTATATTTATATGTGGCTCAGTCATGTCTGACTCTGCAACCCCATGGACTGTAACCTAATAGGATCCTCTGTCCATGGGATTTTCCAGGCAAGGATACTGGAGTGGGTTACCATCTCCTTCTCCAGGGAATCTTCCCAACCCAGGGGTCGAACCCAGGTCTCCCACATTTTAGGCAGATAACTTTACCATCTGAGCCACCAGGGAAGTCCATATAATAGATTTAAGTTTCCAGACTGTAGCTGGGGTTTAAAGGGATAAGAAACAGCATGCAAACAAGGATGATTCCAAAAGGATGAGAGTGAATAAGTTTCTGAGAGTCAGAGTAAATATTTAGGGTGTGGAGTTGAGATAAGGCTGAGCTGGATTCTCCCATTTAAGACCCACTGATACCCTTGGTATCAATCATCAATATCAAGGCTGCAAAACAAAGAGCTTTGTTGGAGTTCTCTGAATTGCATTTCCAGAGACACAGATTCAGGTTCTCTTCTGGGGAAGAGAAAGAGTTAAGGGCTTATACAGGCAAAAGCCACAAGGTGGTTCAAGAATTACAATTGAACCAACATAAGAATGGGAATATTTGTCTTTAAGGAATTGTGAATTATGTTACAGTAAGGGTTCAATAAGTATCTTAAGTTTCTGGAACACTGGGCAGATGTTCTGAATGCCTATGTTAAAGATAAGAAGGGTTCAAAGTTTAGATTCCATCCAGGATAAGACATACGTAAGTCACATTTCCTCAAAGACATAAGTTCTGTTTTGGTAAAGGAATGACAATGTGGAACACACAGACTATCATGGGAACCACAAGATCAATAAGTTTCAGAAGCTCTTGGGTACATCTAGCCCTACTTTTTCTGAAACGTCTGAATTCTGATCACACGATACTGCTGAACAAATGATTTGCCGTCCTGTTAGAATCTGAGAGTCAAAAGTGTGTGAAAGGTAGACATGCTCTGGGGTTTTTGTTTAATGGATCAGTGTGGTAGGTTTGGTGACTTTCTTTTTACTGCCTGTTAAGAGTCAAGGAAATCTTTATCTGTATCAGTCAATTAACATTTTTCAGGGTTTTCCACCTGGGGCAAGTTGGCCTAATTCCTCTACATTTGCCTGTCTGTATCTTTTCCTCTTCCAGGAAATTCAGAAACATTGTTTTATCTGCACTCCTAAAGCAAGTCAGTTTATCAGTACTTAACCAAGTCCAGCATCTCTAGAAGTAGGCCTCATCTGGAACACTAGAATTTGATTTCTAAACAGAGTATAGGAAAATTTGCTTCCAGAGCAAGAGTGAGAAAACTGTAAACACAAGAGATGAGTAAGTGATGTGGTGGCGAGTAAGGCAAAAGGGGAAAAAATAGAAATGATGTTCCAGAACACTGAGAGATTAAGGAAATTGGGGTGCAAAAAAATGTGAGAGTGGGAATAGTACAATGCTTTTGAAATTGATAGAGCATGCTGGTTTACAAAATCAGTTTAGTGATTTTTCAACCAGCATTTTAACAAGATGATATACAATAGAATAACAAAATTACAGAATGCATAGGATGGAAAGATAAATATTGTTTTGGAAACATTTAGAATATATATAACAGTATATAAAATATATATAACATGCAACTATATAAATTATAAATGCACACGCGTGCACACACACACACACTCGAACATATGCCTGGGGTTGTTTTGTTAACTATTTCTCATAGTAGGGCTCGGACCAGAGCTTGAAAACTGAAAAACAGGATCCCAAAGAACCCAGCAAGGTAAATTCAAGGTCAGATGAGCAGGCCCCTTTTCTCTCCTTTTGCTGTCCACAGCATTTAACGGAGGGAGAGGAAATGGCGGGTAAGGGAGAGGACACCAGAGGGAGGTCAGGCGAGGAGCAGGGGCGCGTCAGGACAGGGAGGAGCCCCGGGACTTTCTGGATAGTCAGTTGGTGACCTGAGGAGGTTGATTTGTGAGCGCTTTCCTTAAACGCTAAACCGAAAGAACTTCTGAGTTCCTTGTCCCTGAAAAACCTCCAGAGACGAAGAATTCGCGCTGCTCCAGAAGGTGACACAACCTAGGGTCAGCCCCAGTGAAGGGGATTATTCTTAAGTCGGACGAGGAACGGGGAAGTGGGCGGGGCATCGGAAGCGCGGGAAGGCCGGGCGGGGTCGGTCCAAAGAGTGACTCACGCCGTGCTCAGCACAGCCCACAAGTGGGGCAAGCACTTCTGCATTTTGGAACTCATCCGCGAGCCGAAGCACCAGGGCGTAGGTGGGCTTGTGCCCTTTCCGCGGGCCAGTGATGCTCGCTGCAATGGGCAGCACCAGCTTCCCCTTGCGGCCCTGCTGCAGGCGGGCTCGGGCGGCCGGCTCGCCGGGCCCACGTGACCTGCTGCACGGGACACCGCCTCCACCGCGCCCAGGCCCCGCCCCATGACGTCACGCTCCTCAGATTGTCTGAACGTTCCTTCTCTTTCCGCTTTCGGTCATTGGCCGGCCTGGCAGACAGCGCCCCCCCTTCGCCCCGCCCCCGAAGTCGTGGGGAACGCGAGTGGGGGCGGGGCCTGGGCCGGAGGGGCGGGGCGAGAAGGCTCCGCGCCGGTAAAGGGGCCGCTAGAAGCGCGGTCCGAGCCATCTACTGCCGCCAGCCTGCAGGCCCTCCAGGCTAGCCGCACGCCCCTTCCCCGCCCGCCGCCGTCACCAGGGAAACAGGTCGAGACCGCCCGCCGACCCCACGCTGTTTTCATGGCAGCCGCGAAGAAAGCAGTTTTGGGGCCCTTGGTGGGAGCAGTGGACCAGGGCACCAGCTCGACGCGCTTTCTGGTGAGCCCGGGGTGGGTGCCACTTGAGAAGGTGCTAAACCGGGGCGGGAGCCTTAGAACGCCGGGGCTGGGTGTCGCGTCCCCATCCCGTTCTTCCCACGGCCCGGGGCCCCGGCCACGGGGCAAGAGGAGGAGGCCAAGGGCACCTAGTGGGACTTGCCACGCTGGAGCCGCCCCGCCCGGCCTGGGGGAACGCGGCCTCTCGCGACCCCCGCAGCTGAGCTGAGTAGCCCTGGCCTCGGTGGTGGACAGCGACCTCCTACTGATGAAAGGATTCCTCCCCCGAAGGGAGCTAGGACTCATGGAGCATCCGTGCAGAGCGGCCCGCCTGCAGCCGGGGACAGGTGGCCACACTGACCGCTGCTGCAGCCTTCCCCAGAAGCATTTGGCCTGCCCGACTCAGGACGTCCTTGGATAGGGGGAAGCTGTGTCACGGTTGTCGGAGCCTAACACAGCGTGTTGTGGAGCAGTCAAACAAATGTAGTATTTGCGTGATGATGCCTTGTCATCCTCTCCCACAGACATTGCAGAAGGTAGAATGCTAGGGGCTGGCGAGTGGCAGAACACGTTAGGAAAAAGTCACACTACACTGCTTTTACTGGAATCTTAATTTCATTTCAAAGCTTTGTAAATTTCATTTCCGATACTTTGCCTGTTACAAAGATGACTGTCCTCTCTGCACTTCACAGCATAAAGTGACAGGGAGATTGTTTCTCTTTTTATTTGCCATGTGTGACAGAGTTTTGCCATAATGGAGTGCTATTTAAGTGACTCTCTGCTGACTGATTTGTTTGGGGCAATTAGGAAACTTGCTCTTAAAGTGATGTAGTACTGAGTTCAGTAAGATCATTTAAAAGTAATTGAAATAAACTGTTGTTGGTTAAGAGCTCATTCTTTCAATGGACATTTGACTAACCTGGCAAGTTGATATAAATATTTAATGATTGGTTAACTCCCTCTTCACTTCTTTGTCTCAATTCATGTTTTCATGTCTTCTTTAGTATGTATATGTATGTATACATTGTATATACCTTATATATATATATTTTTTCAGAACTCTATTTAGTTGACCACTTGACTAAAACCTGCATTTGTACCTTCATTTTGATATTCATGTCTCTTGTCTAAAGTCAGAAGCTTTCAGTCCAGTTTTAGCTTGGTTCTTATTTAATGACGTACTCTGGTTTGAGCTGCCAAGACCTAATTCTCCTGTTTCTTACATTGTTTATCTTTTGATCAGACAGGGCAGGTTTCACTTTGTCTTATTTTCATATAAATATTTATAAAGTAACCCTGAATCATAAGTAAGAAAGATCACCTAACTAGATTTGATTAATCAAGTATGCAGTCATCACCTACCATCTTCCCAAATTAAGAAAGACCATTAAGACATGTGTGCTAACTGTGGGTTGAGTTTTGAAGCCACATTCAAGAATTGCCCACACAAATGCCTGCAGGGGACAGACAGAGTGAGGAGGAAGGCTGGAGAGCAGACTCCGGCTAAAGGGACAGCCTCTAGCTGCCAGGCAGGAACACTCGCCTCAGGTTGCAGAAGCTTCAGATTCTTTAAGAAAAATTGGTAGTCAAGCGTTTTCAGTGAAATCTTCCTGTCCTTACATGTTGGCAACTAGTTGCTAACGGAGTGTAGGGGCCAAACCAAACATGGCAGTTGTTCCCAAGTTTATACAGCCTTTGCCCTCTCTGAAAGTGGGTATAATATTTCCTAACTCTGTAGGCTGCCTTTTGAGTTGCCAGCCTGACTGTGTTGGTCTTCCTTTTGACTTGTCAGTGTTGCTGTACATGGGGCTTCCCTGGAGGCTCAGAGGGTAAAGAATCTGCCTGCAATGTGGAAGACCCAAGTTCAATCCCTGGGTTGGGGAGATCCCCTGGAGAAGGGAATGTATTCTTACCTGGAGAACGCCATGGACGGAGGAGCCTGGTAGGCGCTACAGTCCATGGGGTCACAAAAAGTCAGACACAACTGAGTGACTAACACTGTTACCATGCATGTAGCCCAGCAGTCATCTTTATCTACTGCAGGTTGTTCCTGGCCCCTCAGATTCTGTTGCCCGAGGAGTGTCTTTCTGCATTGGTGGGGAAGGAATAAATCAACCTTCTATTATCACAGTCGGTTGTTCAGTGATTGACATGAATAGCAGGAGCCTTTAAGAAGTTGGCTGCTGTTTACTGTGGCTTGATCTCAATGAGTAAGCTAAGGTGAACATTCAGAAGGCTCCCATTCTGCTTATAGAGTGATGTTTAAAAGTTGATCAGTAAAGTTTCCTGCTCCTTGAGAAACAACTCTTCAAGAAAGCTTCAGAGGTAGATAGAAGACTACCTGTGTGAAGAGATCCTGGGTGAAATAGAGAAAAATCTGGCATTGGTTTAGAAAGGGTTTTGTTGTTTTTTTTTTTTCTCCCTTGGTTATAAGGAAAGAAGTTGCTAAACCACACTCTGCAAAATTCAAATAATAGATTTGCTGAATAAGTGCTTCAGTCACAAGGTGATCCCCAGGGGTTGTTCCAGTCATATTGTTCCACATCGTAATTATGACTTAAAAATAATTGCTTACCTTCTCAGGAAAGAATACAATAGATAAGAACTGTCATAAGGAAGCTTATAAAGTGAAAAGTATTAAAATAATTTCCTGGCCCTTATTCATTGCATATGCGTGTCTCATTCAGTGTTCACAAGACCAATCACCTCACTGAGCTTCCCTGTCCCTTTTTCTATGCCAGTTATATTTTTTTCTCCCACAAAGGACACAAGATTTCTTTATTCATGTTCTCTCATCCAAGGGAAATGCCTCCTCCCCATTTTCCCATATCTGCTTCTTGGAATTCTGTTCTGCCTCCAAATAGTGGCTCAGTTACCATCTCTTGGTGGAAGTCTTTGCTCAAACCCTTACTCAGAATTTCTCCCCCTTCCTAGAGCATTCTTTTTATGTCTCTGTTAATAGCTCTTATCAGCTTTACTTTGTGTTATTATATATCTGCTGAACTTAAAGCAGGAACCACCTTTTGGATACTTGTTCATCTTTGTATTTCTTAAAATGTCTTGGTCAACATGACAAATGAACACCTGTCTTCTCTACAGGGAGCACTTTACACATATTTCTTGAAAAGATTTTTATAGGTCAACTGAATTTTAATTCTGATTCTCCTTTTTCTCTTGTCAAAAAATCTTAAACCTCTCTGACTTGGGTATGTCTGATTACTTAATTGCTTCTCTTTTAGTAATAGAGCTGCAAATTTAGAATGTGTTCATTTCTTCCTCTAGTAGTCAAAGACTTAACCTGGAGACTCTAGGCATGTTTTGCACCAAAGGAAAATTTCCAACTTGTCTGATAGGAAAGTGAACTGGGCTTGGCAGGGGTTTACCCAGATTGCAGCGTAGGAACTTCTTGGAAAGAAAATTGGTGTAACAGGTTTAAAGGAGGGGCCATTTCTTTATAAGACAAAAGCTTCAGCTTAAACAATCAACTTCCTTCCTTAATTTGGTAGCTTTGTTGTTTCCCCATTAGATTGACTGTTAAAAAAAAGACATTCTACCACCTAGAAGGGTAGAATGGAGTAGGAGGTGGGAGGGTGGCTTTTGAGGGAGGTGTGTATATTGACGGCTGATTGATGTTGATGTATGGCATAAATCAACACAACATTGTAAAGCAATTATCCTCCAATTAAAAATAAAATAGATTAAAAAAACAAAGGCTTGGATTTGTGTTGTACCTGTGATGTGTCAGGTACTCACTGAGGACTTTCCATTTAATCCTCATAACTGTGATGTAGGTAGTATTATCGAGCTCCTTTACACAGGTGATTAGAACATGATGGGGAATGTGCCCAAGGTTGCAGAGTGACTGGTGGAACTGGGATTCAAGTCCAGGTCTCTCCCAGTCAGAAGCCTATCAGCCTAACTCCTCCTACCTTCAGTAGGCTCTCCAGTTTTCTGAGTACAGTTGTTTCTCCGTATCCAGGGGATTGGTTCCAGGTCCCCCATGGATACTAAAACTGTAGGATGCTCACATCCCTTACATAATGAAAAAGCATGTCACTTGCCTATAATCTAGGCACAACCTCCCTTATGCTTTAAATCCTCTCTAGATGACTTAAACCTAACACAATGTAAATACTGTGTAAGAAGTAAATACAGTATATACATGTAAATATATGTAAATACAGTATAGATGTTGTGCACATAGGTGCCAGGCACAGGGTAACTTCACATTTTGCTTTTTCAAACATTTTGGAATTCTTTTTTAGAAAACACTTTGTATCTGCAGTTGCTCAAATCTGTAGAAGCGGAACCATGGATGTGGAAGACCGACTGTGGAGGGGAGATAGGAGGCTAGGCACTTACCAGTTCTGATTATGGTCACAGATGAATCTTCACCAAGTAAAACAGACTTACATACTGGTTTCACAATATTTTTTTAAAGGTTGCCTTTGAATAAGTACTGCTGGTTCTGATCATCCTGTGACTCAGATGAAGTGGGGCCTGGGCAGGGCTTAGGTGTAGTCACCGTGGATAATGGTTGCATAACCATTTTGTTCCAATAGCCAGCTTCTGTGAAGAATGACTTGAATTGTAGCTCCATGCTTATTTTGGCAGGGAACATTGCCTTGGCCCCGGTTGTCTCATCATACTTAGAGATCTCAAGGTTAAGGGATAGGTTTCCGCTTTCTTTCTTTCGTTTATGTATTCAACACATAAATATTAAGCACCCATTAGGGGACAGGAACTAATGAACAGTGAATTTGGTAAAATGAATTTGGCCCACAGCTGGACTGAGACCCCTCTTATATAATAAATGTAACTGTGTTTTCCAGCCCCCACTAAGTTGGTTTTCTTCCTTGCCCATCACATTACAGAAATGGTAAGAACATCTCATCAGAGGGCTGCCACCCTCTCTTGTCCTCTTGTCGCATAAACATAAATGTTTAGAGCCTTCAGTTTGGACTTCCATGAGGGGCAGAGTGGTATCTTTTTTTCCCCCTCTCT